TTTCTGGTTGTTTGGGAGCAGCTTCGGCTGATAAAAAGAGGCGAATAGTTATTATTCTCAGCCGAAGCTGCTCCCAAACAACCAGAAACGAAGGCAGGCAGGCAGGCAGGCAGAACGGAGCACTGGATTGAACCGAGGGCGGCGGGGTGGGGGTGAACGGGCGCTTCGGAGGAGCTACGCCGACAGGAAAAGCCACCCTGCCGGCTTCTTTGAAGCAGTTTCTTCCTGGGCTGGTGGAGGAGCGAGAGAGCGACTGAGAGAGGAACGAGGCGGGAGGAAACCGAAGCCGCTGAGCCAGAGAGCAGGACAGGCTTTGGTTGCTTCCTCCCTCCCCTTCTTTCATTTGTGTCCTTGATCCCTGATCCCAGCAGGATTCACCGAAGGCGAAGAAAGCCGCCATTTTTTTTTTACTTTTTTTTATTTGCGGCCCGGTACAAAGTGATCCACGGACCGGTACCGGTCCGCGGCCCGGTGGTTGGGGACCCCTGAGCTAGAGCATAAAACTGTAAATGCACGCATGTAGTTCTGTGAGTCATGCCTTCTGTCCTCCAAATCGTTTTTGGCCCACAAACTCATTTTGTAAGCACTAAAGATGCTGCCTAGCAAGGCATGGACTCACTGGATCATGGGATGCCCTCCAGAAAGAACTGCAGCCTAGCTGCACTGCACTTTAGTCCAACTCAGTGGATCTCCCGGCAACAGCAGTTTCGTTGTCTAGATCAAGCAATTAGCACCTTGAGGCCTCTTGCACCCTGCCCTCTAGATGACCCTCCCCTAATCTCATGCTGTGTGGCAGGCGTTCCTTCTGAGGAGACAAATCCTCCACAAAGCAGCAGCAGGAAAATAAAGTTTAGCCAGGGAAGGCCTGCTGGAGGCAAAGGCTGTCTGAGAAAAAGGGAAGGAGGCAGTAGATGCTCTTCCACTTCAATGGTCTCTTTTTCCAGGCAAGGCATGAAAAAGATGGTGAGCAAGTAAGAAAAATATCTTTGTCAGGGGAAGAGATAGGAGGAGGGAGGGAGAACTCACTCTGCAAGGCAAGGAGGCAGAAAGGAAAGCAAAGCAATATTTGGGCAGCTCCAGTGGAATGGATTTCCTACATTATACCATTCCTGATATGTTCTTCTCTGTCAGCTATAGTCAAAGTGAAGTGGTTCTCTTTCAAAGGAGTTTTTTATTTAATACATTTATCTTTAAAGGCATATCGTGTGGTACTCTACATTCTCAACTAATCAAGAACATTTCTATCAATATATGAAAAGACTTTAATGTTATGGTCCTTAAGGTAGTGACCTTTTCCTTGTGTAACACTCCTTTGATTATTTTAAGACAGACCCCAGATTTATGCTAACGTAGTTAGACTTTAAGGAAATTATTTTACTATTGCTACACTTCAGAAACACAAAGATTATACACCGAATATGTATAACAACTCCTATTCTGGTTCTGTGTAGATATAGTTTATCTAAAATATTTAACATGCAAAAAAGCTCCAATGGCTTTTTCTGGATAACCCAGAAAAACACAAAGAATATCCTCTATTTCTCTTCTTTTCTATAAAGGTGTGCAAATTGCGTACATATATTCCAGACTGGAAGTCTCAAAAATTGTCAAGAGTAATTCTGAAAGCCAATCACTCCAAACACAAATAACATTTTAATAACATAATTCTTACCTGGACTTAGTTCAACCAGGTAAGGTAGTTTCTCAGGTGGAAGAGAAGAGCCATAACCAGACCTATCAATTCTTTCCTTTCCTTTTAATAGTTTTACATCAACTTGCTTCTTCAGCTTCTTTGGGACATAATCAAGTGGGCGTCTTTTTAACTGAAAGACTAATATTCCTAAAATACAGAAGCACAAATAGATCATTTGAATGTGACCTAAAAATATAGAAGCATAAATTAATTACACTAAATGGTCAATGGCAATCTTATTGTCCTATTACAAAGTTACAAAATTAAAATTCTCTATCACATGCAGCTTCATTACAAAATCCACTTCCATTCAGATGTACTACCAATGTTTATTTAGTGCTAGGCAATGGGCCTACACAAACTTCACTATGTAAGTCCTACTTTTTTTTAGGCCATACAAACACTTTGGACTGTTTGATAGTTCAGCCACTGAGGAACTTACAACATCTCAATTCATATTCAGGTGCTTCAAGAAAGTCTTTTGTTATTTATTCAAAAGTCTGGGCAAAAATCTCAGACCCTCTCTGGATTTGTTTACAACTCACCAATGGTAGTGTGTCAAAATAGTCACTAAGTTGTGTTACATACTTTAAAAAACTAAAGTTACCTTTATCACTTGGCCATTCCCTAAATATTTGAAGTGGACACTCATCATCATCAAGGATAGATTCTTTAGCAGCACTATCATCAGAATGTTGAGCACCAGGAGGAAGCATGACCTAAAGAAAAGCCGGGTATAAGTAAGATAGAAAATTTCCATATTATTTGTAATAATAACATGCTTCAATCTACACCCTGCTTATACTTCAGTTTAACTCAAGGACAACGTTTTAAGCAGAGCTTTTACTTCTGAGTTTCAGTATTACAAAGTAAAAAAGGTAGAACAGTTATAATATGACTGAAGTATGAACACTGTGTCTTTGGTTCTTTTAGCTTTGCCTCTCCTATCAGTAGAGACTTGAGGACTAGCTCTTTCTAGTAATACTGGGTCAGGGCACTCTGCATCTTTTTACTGAGTAAAACAGAATAGTAAGGTCCTTCTTCCTACCTATATATCTTATGCTTAAAGCAAAATTCATAGATTTGGGGTCATCGGAGGAAGATTGTGAGAGGGTGAAAGAGGTACAAAGATGGAGAAAGCAAAGGAATTACTTTTTTGTTAGCTATAAATGTGTTTGTACAACTCCTTAATGTCTATAGAGCTATTTCCTCTATAACACAAATCGAAGATGGATCCAGCAAAAAGTTTAAAGGTTATTTCAAAATAATTATCTTGAAAAGAGCTTATTTATTTTTATGTTTATTCCATTGTATTGCTTTACTAAAGCTGCTCTGAGAGTCATAAATTAAAGCAAGAAAAAACAAATCATTTCACTAATTTAACCAGTCCAGAATAACTCTTATTTTAAATTACTACTTGACTACTAATAGCCAAATGAAATCAGAGAGACAAAACATTTACTGTGTTAACACTGGTACTGGCTAAGAAATAAGTGTTCTCTTGTCAATAATAATGTAAAATAGCAGATATAAAAATCAAATGAGATAGCATTGAAAGACAACAAATGTTCAGGAAAGTTAATTAGTTTGACATTATTTTTTCATTAATTTACTCACACGAGCAATACAATATTCCTTGGGGTTTTCCTTTTCTAGGCTGTACTTCTCCAGGGCCTCAATAACTGCAAAATCTGCAGTATCTGTAGTAGATAGTAGGATTGTCTTGTATGGTATATTTGGTTTCAAACTATCTGCATAAATTCTTAGTGTTCCACCTAAAAAATAAATTATTAATTCAAGTTATACGTACCAATATATGATTTGATTTCTTTCATAAATTTCATGGAATTCCCAATAATAATTTCAAAATGAAAGATCTTTCTCAAAATACAATTACTTTTTCTGAAAAACACCATGCTTTCAATAACAATTATAACAAATGTAATTATAAACCTCTAATTTTCTAAGAGTATTTTCAAAAGATAGCCTTTTAGGAATATTGTACTCTGATTGAAGAAAGATTTACTTGTCAAGGAAAATGTCTAGTTTTGTACACTCTTGCTAAACATCCAACCTTCAAACATCAAATAAATTCCTTGGTTTTAATCTAAACTTCCACCTGAATCTGGCCTGCCATCAGAACTCCGAAATTCTTGCATTCTTTTTTCTAGCTTCTGTTGTCTCCGCCGTTTCATTACCACTTCTGGGTTGGATATTGTTCGAGTGAAACTGGTCTCAGGCATATCTTTGTAGACTTCTGCTGCAAGACGAGAGTTTTCACTGCCGAAAGAAATTTCAAGAATTATTCAGAATATGCAAGCTTATAGTACTTTTCCTTTTTTAAAAATATAAAACATATACTTTCTATACATAAGTTTTATACATATTAATGTGAAGCCAACAGAGGTATGTACCTCTGTTACTTAAAGGTACTTGACCAGATAAACAGTTAATTTATTGTAGTCATTAATGGACAAAACCATTTATCTGAAACCCAACCCAGCTTATCATCTCATCAACCAGTTTTTTGAACATTCTCATAATTTTTAGGTGACAAATAGTTCTAGGATCCTAGTGGTATAAAATGGTCACTAAGTGATGAGGAAGCTTTCTTTACATTTTCCCCAAAAAGTTTGCTTAAAGTAATTCCAAGAATAAATGTTAGCCTTCAAGACTCCTTTCTTTTGTTATCTTTTTGGCTGCCATAGTAATGGGGGGAGGGTAAATCATTTGGGCTTTGTGGGGTGGGAAGTGTGCTGAAGGCTTTAGAGAATGAACTGTATAACTTGGGGAAAATTTTATTGTTTATGCTTATTTGCTTGCTTACTGCACAACTGCAGCTCTTTATCAAACTAGGCCACGGTCAACACCCAGATGCCTGCATCACCACCTGACATTATACACATCTTCGATTGGACGGACCGTTTGAACTATTGTGGGTGGGAATGTTGCCATAACTTTGTATATGTTTTCCACGCGTAAATTCTCAGATCTAGAATTCTTTTGATGCTACCACTTGATTTCCAGTAAAAGTTTCTTTTCTCTATAACAATGGAGTCTAAGAGTGTCTTTCTTGGATTTTGAATGGAGCACCATCTGACAATTGAGGGATGAGCAAACATGCATGGCTTTTTGCATATGAAGAGCACATATTTGAAAACTTATTACAAAAAAGGGCACTAATAATTCTTAATTTCTGGTTACTATTAAAAGTATAAAAAGTATGGGTAGTCCTCAACTAACAACCATTTGTTTAGTGACCATTTGAAGTAACAACAGCACTGAAAAAAGTGAATTATTCTTCACATTTACAACTGTTCTTCACATTTACAACTGTTGCAGCATCCCCATGATCATGTGATCAAAATTTGGATTCTTGTCAAGTATATTTGGCACGTATATTTATGAATGGAAGTGCTGTTCTGCACATAAATATTTTTTTACAAATAAAGTTATGTGGTAAGAACCAAACAGTAAAGTAATTTTAAAAAGACCTCTTTTAATAATTCTTGTAATTTTGTGATTTGAGACTCACGTATCATCTCCATGAAATGGCCCATGATTGTCTAAAGTTTGTTGCTGTGCTTCTTTTTCTCGCCTCTTTTTTTCTTTTTTTTCTTTCTTTGATAGGGTCCGCTTAAAGTTTTGGATCACTCCTTCTTTTTCTTGTTTTTCAGGGCCATTGCTCTGAGCCTTCTGAAACATGTCAATTTTATTAGTATTTTGATTCATTTATATTTATTTTTCAAAGCAACACCATTCAATTGTAAATACCAATGGTGATAATAATTGTAAAATTATACATTTGGCAAATAATCAGCAAGAATTATCTCAACATTTGACCAAGATGATTAACACAGAATGGTTACAATTTATTCACAATGCTGAACCAAAGTTTACTCCTATGTGGATACAGTTCTGTGTGCCTTCAAAATGACAACTTTTACACTGCCTAGAGCAGGGGTGGGCAAACTTTTTGGCTCGGGGGCCGCATTGACTTTTAAAATTTGACAGACGGGCCGGATCAGCACAAGATTTTTTGGGAATCGCCCCCCCACCCTTCCCCCCCTCTTCTCCTCCTTCCCCTCCCCTCGGAAGCCCCCTGAGTCAGGAGTTGCTACCGCCGGCGCGGCTCCGCGCAGCTCCAGTACCGTGTTGCCTCGGGAAGGGAAAGGCAAAAAGGAAGAGCCGCGGCGGTGCTTTGCAATGGGAGCAGCGGCACTGGAGGCTCAGGCTCAGCGGCTCCTGGTTTTGCCTTTTCCTTCCCAAGGCAACGCGGGACTGCAGCCGCACGGAGCTGCGCCGGCGGTAGCAACTCCTGACAGCCCCAGCCGGACACCTGAGCGGAGCCCGGGCGAAACTGCCTGTTGCTGCTGCCGGAGCACCACCGGGTTGCCTCCTCCAAGCAGCCCGCCCGCCCGCCGGGCTTCCTCTCTGCCATGCGGCTCGGGGCCAGGCACGAGCGCCCGCGAGTTAAAAGGAAGCTGAAAGTTGCTGGGAAGTTGCTCGGGTGCTGGGAGCAGGCTTTTAAAGTGCCGCCCGAGCAAAGTTTAAGCCTGGAAGCCCCGGAAATCCGAGCAACTTCCCAGCAACTTTTGGCTTTGTTTTAACTCGCGGGCGCTCGCCCCGAGCCGCACGGCAGCCCGCTCCAAGCAGCCCGCCCCGCCCACCGGGCGGAACCCTTCCCGCTCCTCGGCGGGAAGACGCTCCAGCCTGCAAACTTTGCCTTTGCAAAGCCCTGGAAGCCCCGGAAAACCGAGCAACTTCCCAGCAACTTTCGGCATCGTTTTAACTCGCGGGCGCTCGCTCCTCGCCCCAAGCCGCACGGCGGAGGGGAAGCCTGGAGCGCCGCCGGGTCGCATCCTCCAAGCAACCCGCCTGCCCGCCGGGCTTCCCCTCCGCCGTGCGTCTCGGGGCCAGGCGCGAGCGCCCGCGAGTTAAAACGAAGCTGAAAGTTGCTGGGAAGTTGCTCGGGTGCTGGAAGCAGGCTTTTAAAGTGCCGCCCGAGCAGGACCGCTGAGCCGGGAAATGGGGCACCAAGGCAGGGCAAGGCTCTACCAGCAGCGGCCTAGCTTTAGGTGGCTCCAAGCAGCCCGCCCCGCCCGCCGGGTGGAACCCTTCCCGCTCCTTGGCGGGAAGACGCTCCAGCCTACAAGCTTTGCCTTTGCAAAGTTTAAGCCTGGAAGCCCCGGAAAAAAAAGGGGGATCGGCGGGGACTCACCTTCGAAGAGGTCGCACTCGAAGGTGATTTCGAACTCCCAGCCGAGGCCTTTGCAAATTTCTTTTCTTTCCTACCCCTAGATCGCTCCGCACTGTTTTGCAGCTTTGGGGGCCACGCGGCACAGGGCAATAAGCCACGCCCAGCGGTTTTTTTTCAGGGGCGGGCCGGATTGGACAGACCAATGGCAGCGATTTTTTTTCAGGGGCGGGCCGCATTGGACAGACCAACGGGCCGGATGTGGCCCGCGGGCCGTAGTTTGCCCACCCTTGGTCTAGAGAGTGACTATTTTTACTTTGACAGAATTCAGCTTCAGTGTCATCTTCCAATCAAAGATTATTTTTAAATGAAGTTCTGATTATTTCAACAAACCAATTTCATTATTCTTGACCTATAATCAGGGGTGGGATTCAAATTTTGTAACAACTGGTTCTGTGGTTGTGGCTTAAGTTGTGGGTGTGGCTTGGTGATCATGTGACTGGGTGGGCATGGCCAGGTGACTGGCAAACCAAATACAAGTGGTCCTCACTTAATTGGCCGGTTGCTTAGCAAGTGTTCTAATTTATGACTGACCTTGCCACAGAGCTACTTGACCTGTTTATGGAGCTTTGACAGTCATGCATGCACGTGCGCGCGCGCACACACACACACACACACTTTCAACCCTGATATTCTTTGATTCTGTAAGGATCTCCTGCTGGAGGAGGGGGTTGGACTAGATGACCACCGAGACCCCTGTAGGCCAGCCCTAGATTGCTGTGCTGCTTCAGATAATCTTCTGAAGCCAGGGTTTGTGTCCTTCCTTCCCCTCCTTTTTTTTCTCTCCCTCCCTTTCTCCTTCCATGTATTTATCTATCCATCCATACATCTCATTCATGTTCTCCTCTCTCCCTCTCTTTCTTCCTTTCTTCTCTTCCTTTCTTCTTTCTTTCTTTCTTTCTTTCTTTTTCTTTCTTTCTTTCCTTTCTTTCTTGTTCTCTTTCTTTCTGTCCCTTCCTTCCATCACCCTTTGTCTATCCCTTTTCTTCTTTTCTCTTCCTCTCTCTCCCTTTTTCTTTCTCTTTTCTTTCTTTTCTTGTCTCTTCCTTCTCTCTTACTTTCTCTCTCTCTCCCCCTCTTTCCCCCTCTTTCTTTCTCGCTCTTTCTTTTCTTTCTCTCTCCTTCTTTCTTGCTTTCTTTCTTTCTCTCCCTTCCTTTCTTTCTTGCTTTCTTTTTTTTCTTGCTCCGTCTCTCTCTCTCTCACACACACACATACACACACCTCTCACACACTCACACCCACACACACACACCCACACACACACCTGGGACGAACTGAATGATCTGGCAATCTCAAGTCAGCACTGGGCGGCGGAAAAAGGAAAACTACCTCCACACATGGCGGCGGCTGCAGCCGCGCTTTGCTCACCCGCCCCCTGGACCTCGCAAAACACCTCCACGGGTGGCAGAGGCAGCGACCCTGGCTCTGGGGGCCTCGTGGAAGCAGCTGCAGTGGTGCTTTCCCAGCAATAACAGGAAAGAGAAGCAGTCCAGAGCCAATACAACCTTCTCCATTTTTCTTTCCAGCTGGGAGAGTGAGAGCGCCTCTCTCCCAACAAAGCAAGAAGCCTGAAAGTCCTCCTCTCATTGAATGGGCTCCCGGGCGGCAGAGAGAAGCAGGATTCAAACGAGCTGCTTCTCTTTTGATGAGAGGGGGGTTTTCAGGCTTCTTGCTTTGCCGGGAGAGAAGCGCTCTCGCTCTCCCAGCTGGAAAGAAAAACGGAGAAGCTTGTATCAGCTCTGGACTGCTTCTCTTACCTGCTCTTAAGGAGCGTCTCCCCGCATGTGTCCACCCTCCCGGCCCCACCACAGACACCAATCGCAAGAGGGGGAGGCGGAGAAGGGTTGCCTGAAGGAACACTTCCACTGCACGCACACACTCACAGGGGGGGGGGGGGGGGGGGGTGGCTGTGCATCCTGGAAACGCGCCGGTAGTGGGCAATTTCCTTGCTTTGGAGGAAGCAGCAGAGCACACCGGGGCGTTCTCCCAGTCAGATCCAGCAGCACCAGGGGGAGAAAGAGAACGTTCCCTACTCTCCCGGCCAGTACTGCCATGGCCCCGCAGCTTCTTCATGGCCAGGGGAGAAATACAATGTTCCCTTCGCTCCCGGCCAGCACGGCCATGGCCTTGCAGCGGGGAGGCAGCTAGCTAGCTAGGTCATGGCAAAGCAAGCCAGGCAACCCCGGGGATGGGGTGAGGGACAGTGCAGCGGCCTAGGCTGGCCCAGGAGTCGACTCAACCGGGGCTTGCTTGTACGCTTACTCACCCAAGGAGATCAGGGCTGCGGTGGAAAGCAGGCAGCAATGGCGGGTGAAGGCAGGTTAGCAATGGCGGCGAGATGAGGAATAACTGGGCAGGGTGGCAAGTGGGCAGGCAGGAAGGGCCAGGGCCAGCCAGGGGCGTGATTTACCGGTTCTCCGAACTGTGCAGACTCATAACAACTGGTTCTATAGAACCAGTCCAAACTGGTAGAATCCCACTCCTGCCTATAATTTATTTCAAACCAGAATTATTTGAGTGAAGTTTCTGTAGAAGTTAAATTACCAAAGGGGTATAAGGAAAAGATTTCCCCTGTCTTGTCAGGTCCAACTCTAGGGGCCAATGCTTATATCTGTTTTTTTAGTCCAGGGAGCCAGCCCAAGGCACACAGAACACTGTTACCTTCCCACCAAAGTTACACCTATTTATCTACTTTCATTTGTATGCTTTCGAACTGCTGGGTAGGCAGGAGCTGAGGCAAGGATCGGAGCTCACCCCATGCTCACGTCTTGAAACTGGGCTGTCAAGCTCAACATCTTTAACCACTGAGCCATTGTGCCCCTCAAAGAGTGTACTATAAGCCTAATAAAGGTAGTCTCTGGACGTCAAGGAACAGCTTGGGGCAGGGTATGACCTGGGTTCAGAAAGCACCTTGCTATTAGGGCCCTGGTTGTCAGATGGCTCTGCTTGAGAGCAAGGCTCTGTACCTATCTGGGCCGTGGTCCTAGCCTTCTGGAGTAGAGATATAAAGAGTGCTGGGCTGAATAGCCCAGTGAAGGCGGGTGGGTCAGAAATAAATCTTCATCCTCTGAAAATCCCTGCTCCCTTTGGTCTTCCTCCTCCATCACTGATGCCCTACTCCTAATTGAGTGGGCTGGTGATTCTGCCCTCTGGTGCCTAAGTGCCTCCATAAGTATTTGGTATTGCATGGTCTGCAATGGAGGCTCAGACCCCAAGGAAGGGGGGGTGGCTCCACCTCTGCAGGGTAGAGGAGTGTGAAATGCCTGAGATATAAGGGCCTTAATTTCCTCAGACGACTCTGGTCCAAGTCTGTCTGCTGAGCGGAGCACCGCCACAGTGGGAATACATGTGGCCTCTGGAACCCTGGGTCTATTGCTAATCTGTGATTCTGCAGGATTAGGGGCCATGCAAGCAAAGGGAAATGTTTGTTTGAATTTCCTCTGCTAAAGGGAGATAAGCCTGCTCTCTATCACCCTCTGGTGACCATGCTCTTTGAATTGCAGTCAAGTCTTGCATTACTGGCTGTTGAGGATGGGAAAAGCCAGCCTTGGCTGAGGGGAGGGGGTATACCTCTCCTGTTCAGCTTGCTTCTCAGCTCTGGAAAACTGCTTTTCAAGGGCTTCTTGCCTTCTACTTGCATCCCTTTCTTCTGCTCTGGTAGGTTTCCTTAAATAAATGGCTTTTACCCT